TTTTTTAAAGTTTTCTTCCCAAATGATTTTCTGTGTTTGATTCCTTTAGGATTGTAATAACTTTTGTGTAAAATCCTTCCAATCCCAAATTGGTATTCTAAATCATGACACCATTTTCTTATGAAGGCAAGATAGTCACATTTTTACCTTCATTAATTAATGTAAACCAAACTTATTTCAACTTTGGCTAAGATCTCTTTTTCAGAAGTATCCATTAGGAATTCTTGTCAGCAGATCAGCTTGGGCAGATAAAAAGAAAATTTATGAAACAGATTTAAAAAAAAAGACCCTCACCCAGTATCAATCGTCTTGGCTTGGACTTGGGAAAAAAGTCATCAAAAGACACACAGCCTTTATTTTAAAGGGATGGGTTTCTTAGCATTTCGGCTCTCAGCCTGCCTCCAATTGTGCCTAAAATGTAATCTAAGGTAAAGCTGATATTTATGTAAAGTTTATAATATACGCAGTCATCACTTTAAAGTCATAGTAGTATAGAAGTGAAATAATTACCTTTTGGTTTGTGGAGGTAATGAGAAAAAAATTGGTTCCCAGACGAAGCGTAACAAATTAAATCTCAGTCATGTGTGTGTATGCACATGCACATAAGCTATGCATGCAGAATTTGTGTGTGCATGTGTGCATAAGCTGTGCTTGAAAGATTTGTGTGTGTGTGCATAAGCTATGCATGCAGGATTTGTGTGTGTGTGTGTGTGTGCGTGCATGTGCATAAACTACGCATGCAGGATTTGCAAACCACCATTTACCCAGTGGTGGGTACTGCTTTTCCATCTCACACACTGTGACATCGTGGCCATGTTTCTTTAAATTTGTATTTCAGGTTACACCCCCGCCCCATGTCTTATCAGAGTCACGTTTCTTAGTCTGAGATAAATCAATGTGCAAAATCGATCTGAAGTCACAGACTGTCTGTGGAATCAGGGAGGGGGTCTCACTTTTGTTATGGGAAGCAGTGCACTTCAGGTAATTAGGCATTAAATTGTGTAAAATGGCATAATGGAAAATACCTGGGGGTAGGATAAGCATTTCAATGGAAACAGAACACCTTCTGCAAACCATTGTACAATTAGTCCATTGTTCTGTACTTAAAAAAAAAAAAAAAAAAAAACTTTCCACTTTCCGGCACTGGAAAAAAAAAAAAAAAACATTTGAAAAGGTATATTTAAAAAGACTTTGCTGAGCTCAAGCTTGAGAAAGAAATGCAAAGAATTCAAAACTTATCAGGCTGCTTCACTTCCAACTTTTTTTGTTTGCTTTTTTTTAAACCTGTAATTTAGGAAGAAATAAATTACTGTAGTGGTGCATTAGCAAGTGGTCCTTCTCTCTCAGTACATTCTATAGGAAGCTGGATATCAGAGCCATTGCGCTGGCAGGGATGGGGGAAGGACTTGGCTGCATGTACAATATTCCCACCCTGTGGGGAGGAGAGAAAAAAGCAATGTACATGGAAGAATGAAGTTTTGAGCAGTAAGGGACCAAGAGTGAGTATAATTAATGTTTAGGAGAATCTCATCCATTTTTATGGAGAATGAGTTCTTGATCCTGGATGGATAAGGAAGATTTGAGGAGAGAAAAAGTGCAGAGAACCTTCCTGCTATGGGTCAGGGCTGGAGACCTGGAATTGGGTCATTAAGGGGGGATTGGCCATGGTACGGGGGAGTTCACAGAAGAGAGGCTGTACTGACCAGAAGAGGAGGTCAGTAGTACAACCTGGGTTTGCAGAGTGAGGACATATTCTGGGGAGCTTTGAAAGCCAGACTGAGTTGTCTGAATGGTGATGCAAACGTAGCCGCAGGGACACTTCCTGACATAGTTTCTGGATCCTCATTTTGCTCTTGTCCTGTGTTCTTAGGAGGGGGAAAAAGAAAGGGGGGGGAGGAGTATTAAGTTAGTGAGCCTTCATTTTTGAAAAAGAATAAATTTATTTCTCATTTTACAGTATTAGTTCTGAGTCTCAGTACATTCTGCTGTTTTCTTTATGAGCATAGACAACACTGGACTTGTCTCCTTATAGGGTCTAGAATTTTTAAGGCCTGAGAACGGAGGCATCAGACCAAGATTGTTTTAGCTGTTTTGCCCCTCTAAGAAAGAGCTTTATCACACTGTTGGTCCAAACTGCTTATTTCTTATTTCACCAGTAGTGCAGTTGAAATCAAGCACATGTCCATCACAGGTGTACAAAGCAAAGATATGCTTGTAATTCATCAGTAGAAAAATGACACCATCTGTTGGCAATGTAGAAAATGACACCATGAAGATGTCATTGAGGGTCAGGTGTTAAATCCACGATTACAAAGAGGTTTGACTTTTGGGTTGATACTAGATTACAAAGAATGGTAAAGAAGTCGCTCATAGAAATAGAAAAATTAATATCTATAAATTCCTCTCATTGCCTTTCGTATGTTCCTCTTCAAACAGGTAAAAAATGTTTGAGTATATAAATCCTACATGATAGAAAAATAATAGACCTGAAATTGTGACCCTGTGTTGAAGGAGATAGTAAATAAAATAGTTTTTGCCATCTACTATGTGGTATAATTTATGGAAGTGTAAATGCATTTCTCAACCTGGAAGAGGGAGTGGGGGATACGGATGGTTGTGAGGATGACAGAACACCTTGGTTCCTGCCATAATAATCTAAAAATCCAATTCCCTGCAGTTTTCCTAAGCCTCTTGAGTTCACCCCTGATTTTGTTATTCATGAGGCCCATATACGCATTAAAAAATAAAACAGTGACCCAGTATCGCAGAAAAACTCACCCATCCTTTTGACAGAGGATTTTCAGCTAATTTATGCAGGTCCCTGTGCACTTGAGCATTTTCCCCACTGGTTGCTAGGCAACCATTTGAGTTACTGCGCATGCCTTTTTTTTTTTATGATAACTGTCATTATGATTATTTTTTAATTATACAACTGGGACCATGGATTAAAACAGCATATTGTCACTCATGCTTTGCCACTGTCTTCTAGCATTCTTGCACACTCCTAGAATCACCTTCTGAAATTTACATGGCAGTGATTTATGATTTTTTTTTATTTTTTATTTCTGGCTTCACAAAGGAAGTAGAGATGGCATCATAGAGGGAGCGAGATTTTTGTGAAAAATGACTGTACCATACATCACAAGCTGTTATTGATCTGGGTAGGCCAAATCATTGAACCTAAATTATGAATATCTTTGTTTCTTTAACCATGTCTGCTTCTAAAAGTAAGTAATGTTAAAAGCTTATATTGCACTGTAGCCTGTTTTCCAAAATTACAAAATGCTGAGCCTTTGTTGCTATTAAACCTGCTTTCAAATAAACCCACCATGAATTTGGCACAGGGTACAGCACTAATCCCAGAAACGTGAGGCATCCACACTTGCTAAATACATTTGTTCTTTTTTGTCCAAATTGCTACACACACATACACACACAGAAATGAAGTTAGGCGAGATGAAGGGGCTCCTCTGGCAAATAATAATAAAGGTACATGTGGTTCACAGTGGGTAAAATACTCAAAAAGAAATGTCTGAAAAGATTATCAGTCACTAGGTACATACAAAAGCTTTTCATTTGAGTTTCCAGAGAATATTCTAACATATTTTGAGTTGCTTTCTAAATATGAAATGAATTTGAAGACAAAGGATTGTGGAAATAAAGTCTGTGTATTTTTTTTTACCAACTCAATTATTATTCATTTAAAAATGCAATTTTTTGTTGAATAGGATATTTTAAATATTTCTATCAAAACAAAGAGATGTATTTGCTCTGAAAGAGAAATCCCCAGCGGACTTTCCATATCATATGCGTGACAGACATGGGGACCTATTTGTGTTTTAATGTGATTTTGAGGTTAGCATGAGGGGCATTAACTTCCAGTATAGTTGTGGGATTCTCCTTGACTTAAAGAGCCCCATGTCTACGTGCATGGGATGTGATTTGCATTGTTGACGTTTTCTGAAATAAGATGAAGCCCTTCAGCAGCAGAGTTTGATCTGGTTTGTTTTTTGTTTGTTTCACCCATCCTACAGTTCAGGACGGCAGCTCAGTGAAGTCTTCATCCAGTTACCTTCAAGAAAAGAATTGCCGGAATACTATGAGTTAATTAGGAAGCCAGTGGATTTCAAAAAAATAAAGGTAGATATTTTGTTTAACAACATTATTTTTCAAGTAAACAAAGGAGAAGTGTAAATTCACTGAAATGGTTATAGCTGGGACTCAGCAATGACGTCCTGTCTGACTGCCATCCTGGGCTTGCCACCAGAAAGGTTGGGATGTCCTTGTGCCTTTCCATGCATGTTACTTAGTCATCATGTTGCAAGCTCATGTTATATTTATTATAACGTTTTACTTTATTATGTATTTTACTGAAGACCTTTCAGACTCCCCCCATCCCCCATTGCTATTCTTGTTTCCCTGAAAGAAGGATGCTAGTGGGAGGGTGGTTTCAGCGAATAGCACTCCCTGGGGTTGTGCAGTCCCACATCATTGGCAGGGCTGCATGCTGTAAAGACAAATCAGCACATCGGGTTTTGTTAACCAAGTAATGATTGTTGCATTTTCCTCTTCCTCTTCTTTCCTCTATTTTATCCACCATTTCCATCAGGAAAGAATCCGTAATCATAAATACCGGAGCCTGGGTGACCTGGAAAAAGATGTCATGCTTCTCTGTCACAATGCTCAGACGTTCAACCTAGAGGGATCCCAGGTCTGTCTCCAGCTGTCTGGAAAGTTTTTAACCTAAACATGCCCAAGTTCTTTTTAAGTAAAGTGAAAAGGAAAATTAAAAGCCTATATTTCATGTTACCCGTGTAAATAAATTGAGGCTTTGGCATTTTCACATTACCATAACTGCTAGCTCCTACTCACGCGTTCCTTTGTGGCTTGTCTTCTAATTAGAGGAGGAATTCAAGTAAATCATTTCAGGTAATGCTGAAAGCCCAGCAGTATCTTTTTTGCTGTTATAGAGATTGTGTATTTGATTATGTTTACCTTCATTTTTCTGATTGTAAATTTGCATCATGAGTAAAACTACTATGATTTAAAACAAAGCAAAATATAGAAAAAAAAATAATAATCACTGCCTCTACTTGCTTTAAAAAATCCTTTTTATCAACCCAATTTGTCATCCTCTTTCCTCCCCTTCTCGATAGTTAGCAAGTCTGAGTACATAAGGGACACTGAATTTATTAAAATAACAAGAGGGAGGGTACTTTCACTTTACACCTCAATTGCTGTCACCTGTTGTAGAAACTCACTTTTTTCTATTTGTATTTCTGGCTTAATGTTTTCATACCCATGAAGAAGAAATAACAAGAACACAGGTCAGTGAGTCTGCCAGCCAAAGTATCAAACCACCATTAAATTCCTGAAGCCTCTTTCCTGATCTTACTCTTTTGCCTACATGTCAATTCCAGCCATCAGAGTGGAGAGTATGGGAATCCTCAGGATATGCCTTGAACAAACTGTACGTTTCCAGGTTAATAGTAGTGTTATCCTGACCAAAATAGCAGGTCACGAAAGCAAGCCTTCTGTGTTTGAGACTCTCTCCAAGCAAAGTTACTATGAAAGCCAGGACGTGGAGAGAAAGTAGAACAGTCAACGAAGAAGGCTTTGGTGAATGATAATTTATTTTAGCCCCTGCATAGGTTTTTGGATTCTTATGTCAATATGGTGTTGTTAATTATGATACACATCCAGTCCCCCTGTAGTCCCACAACCTCCCTGTCTGTCTACACTCTCACTGTCTCACAACTGAAATGGAGTGATAAATGGCCTCTTGATTGGTTTCCCTTCCAGTCCACCCTGGATGCTAGTTTGTCTTTCTCTACCACCACCTTATTCTGTCCATTTACTGCCACCCAGGCTCTGAAGTTCCCTGTGCACTATCTAGAAAGAATTTAATCCAGTAGACTGCTTTCTAAAATTGTTCCCTAACCTCTTTAGCTTGATCTCCTGCTAGTCCTCAACCTAAACAGTTCATAGTCCAATAGACTGATCCCATAAACACCCACTTCCCCAAATGCATTTAACTTTTCTATTTTAGGATCGTTATAGACTCACATGCAGTAGTAAGATATAATGCAGCAGTCCTGTGTACCCTTTACATCTTCACAGGATAGTAACATCTTGCATAACTGGTGCGGTTCCATAACCAGGAGATTGACACTGATGCAATCCCAGATGCAGCTTTTTATTCTCGCCTCCCCACCTTTCTCATTTGCTCTCCTCTTCTAAAAAGCTCTTTCTCAACCCTGATGGAATCCTCCTCACCTTTCAGATCTAGCTCAGCTCTGATGTCTCTGGCAAATTCTGCCGCAATGGCACCGTCCCACAGTGTTCTCTCTCTCCCTGGTCTTTGTTCCCCTGTTGTACTCACTGCCTATATTGTTCACTTGCCACTTACCACGAGTTGCCTTGTCGCTTTCTTGCGTGTGTGGGTCATCTTTATAATAATGAAGTACATTGCTAGAGAGCGAGGATTTTTAAAGATTTTTTTAAAAATTGTGGTAAAAAGACATAACAAAATTTACCACCTTAACCATTATTAAGTGTACAGT